TTATTTATTTTTTAAACTTTTTCTGTTTGTGTGTTTGGGCCACAGCCAGTGATGCTCAGGGTTTACTCCTGTCTATGCACTCAAGAATTACTACTAGGGGCTGGAGCGATAGCACAGCGGGTAGGGCGTTTGCCTTGCACACAGCCAACATGGCCGACACAGGTTCGATTCCCAGCATCCCATAGGGTCCCCCGAGCACCGCCAGGAGTGATTCCTGAGTGCATGAGCCAGATGAGCCAGGAGTAACCCCTGAGCATCGCCGGGTGTGACCCAAAAAGCAAAAAAAAAAAAAATTACTACTAGTGGTGCTTGGAAAGCCATGTGAGATGCTAGGGATCAAAGCTGGATTGGTTGCCTGCGAGGCAAACTCTCTACTCTCTGGCCCCACTCCTCATCATTTTTATTTTTCTTTAATTTTTATTAGTGACAAACCAAGAGGTACAGTTGTAGACTTATAAATTTTTGTGCTTGGGTTTCAATTATACAATGATCAAATACCCATCCCTCCACCAGTGCCTATTTCCCACCACCACTGATCCCAGTATACCTCCCACCCCCATCCCCCCATCCCACCCTGCCTTTGTGGCAGGGCATTCCCTTTTGTTCTCTCCTTTTGGGTGCTGTGATTTGCAAAAGAGGCATTGAGTGGCAATAATGTTCTGTCTATAGTCTACTTTAAGCCTGCTTCTCCCATCCTGGGAAGATCCTCCCCAAACCCTTTATTTGGTGCTCCCTTCTCTAACTGAGCTGCCTTTTCCCCTAGCATGTATTGCTGGTCTCCAAGCCATGGAGTAAACCTCCTGGTACTTATCTCAGCTATTCTTGGGTGTTAGTCTCCTATTTTGTTACTTTATGTTCCCCAGATGAATGCAATCTTTCTATGCCAAAGACAAGTTTGATCTGAGAAAATTAAACTGTGGCTGGATACAAAAGATATTTTTACTGATATTTTCTCTGTGTGGATCTGATTACAATTTTAACTTGTATAAAAGGAGAATAGACATTAGCAAATAAATTCCAGAATCTCAGTCTTATTCAGGGAGTTGGATTTTTCTTTTTCTAAGCTGTAAATGCGGCAGTCCTCCGAAGGATCCTGAATTTCTTCCCCCCAACCCCTGAATGCCTCCCACACCAATCCCCTTATGCTGGTAAAAACCTGAAAGACCCTAAGTGTTATCATGTTTGAATATATCAGCAAACATGATCACCTAAATCTTCTTCCAAAACTGATATATTTGCATATTCTTTCTAAAACCTTCTAATGCAAACTGTCTTCCTCATGTTCAGTATTTCCCTTCTATGAGTTTGAATGTTCTCTATCATCTTTTGGACTTAGCTTTCAATCAAGGTGTCTTTGTCTCTAAAGAATGCATGTGAAAGTATCACTGTCCACTCTAGCACTGTCCTCCCATTGTTCATCAATTTGCTCAAGCGGGCACCAGTAATGTCTCCATTGTGAGACTTGTTGTTACTGTTTTGGGCATATTGAATACACCATCGGGAGCTAGCCATTTTCTGCCATGCAGGCCGGATACTCTCAGTAGTCTGCCAGGCTCTCCGAGAGGGACAGATGAATCGAACCCGGGTTGGCCACGTGCAAGGCAAACACTCTACCCGCTGTGCTATCGCTCCAGTGATTTTACATTGAAAAAATGTGAAAGTAATTTATAGAATATTTTACAGATTGAAAATAGATAACTAAAATACTGAGCTGCATTCCTTTGTCAAGTAAAATGCAAAAATAACATTATTCTCGCCCACCCCCAATTGTGTGAAGGTTTTCTTCACAGTGCTCAGGTGTTCTGTGTCCACCAAAGGTGATACAGCATTACCAGGTAGTTCAATGCAAAGGTTCTGTAGTTGTGGGGATGATGGGACCACCAACGCAAGTGTTCAGGGGTGTCCTAGCATTCTTAACAGGATCTTCCCAGCAGTGTAGAAAAAAACTCCTGTGTTACATTTATTCAGAGCAAGAATATACATCAGTTTGTATGCTTTTGTGCATAATGCTATGTTATTTCTTCTATGCCAATATGACTTCTAAATTAAAGGGTCATTTTAGTACTTTTCAACCATGGTTAGCATAGTTTCAATGTAAACTATCGCTGTTTCTGTGTGGGCATTTTAAAATTATGTAAAGTAAAGCAAAGGCCCTCCCGTTGATCATCGATTTGCTCGAGCGGGCCCAGTAACGTCTCCATTGGAGACTTTGTTGTTACTGTGTCTGGCATATCGAATACTCTCGGTAGCTTGCCGGGCTCTCCGAGAGGGGCGGAGGAATCGAACTCGGGTCGGCCACAGCGGGTAGGGCGTTCGCCTTACAAGCAGCCAACATGGCCGACCCGAGTTCCATTCCTCCACCCCTCTCGGAGAACCCGGCAAGCTACCAAGAGTATCTCGCCCGCACAGCAGAGCCTGGCAAGCTCCCCGTGACATATTTGATATGCCAGACACAGTAACAACAAAGTCTCCAATGGAGATGTTACTGGGCCCGCTCGAGCAAATCGACGATCAACGGGAGGGCCTTTACCTTTTACCTTTACCTTATGTACAACTAATAATTCAAGTAATGCTTTGTGGTTTGACGGTTTCTTATTGAAACTTGTACTGAGAACCAGTGACTCAAAATTGTGTCTTCCTATATTTCATTTCAAGAAGTGGTATAGGGTTATATTTCGGACAGTTATAGATCTTATGATAAAAGTTAATGAATTTAAACTCTACTATTCCAAAGTTATACATTAAGTTCTCTAGCAGGGCTATGAAATTGGATTTTAGATTCTACATTAAGTTTCCCACCACAATCTCAGTGAAGCATTTGAATCCAACATCATAAGTCAAAGAATGTCAGAAAACCATAGAAGGCACTCTGATTTTTTTTTTCTGTTGCATTGGAAGCCTCTCACTGACTTTTGGCTAGGTGCTTGCATGGTATGTCTTTTTTTTTTTTTTTTGCATGTGAGCTTTTGCCAGCAGAGAAGCACTTATTTACTAGTAACACATTTCAATCCAGAATTAGTTCTTCCTTGGTCAATGCATGGTAGAGCTTTGCTTAAAATAAAATTTCTATTAAATGAATGTGAATTCAGATGTGCCAAGATGATGAATTCTATACTGGTTCCAGTTCAGTTCAGTATTTTCTTTTTTCAGAAAATATTTATTCAAAGTAGTCTTAGAGATATATTTTGTGTCAAGTTGAAAAATTATCCCCTCTTCAGATGGGAGTGACACTTTGTATCTGCCCTCACCAGAAAATAGTCTTCCTATGGAACCACCAGAACATTTCACATCTTCTTTGTTGCTTCTATTAATCAGTGCCATGCTGCCTAATGCTTTCAAGAAAAATATCTTTTTTTCCTCTTTCTAAGGGACCTTTTGTGATCATGTGTGTCTGAAACAACTTACTCTGGACAGATATTTTAATACATTCTCTTTACTCTCAGAATATTTAAAAATATGCATTACATATTTTGTCATGGAAAATGTGAGTCTCTTATTCCTTCTTTTGGGGAACTTTATTTTCAAGCTACCCTCTGGCCATAGGCCATATAGTCAAGTTTTAATTTCAAGCAAGCAAGAAAATTTTCTTCCAGTTACAACAACTCTGTTTGATAGAGTTAAAAAGGAAGACATTTCAGAAAAAGATTCACTATTCTAATTGGGCTAACATAAAAGTAAATGTGAAATCATTAGCAATGATTTTAATTAAATATTTAGAATCTATATGTGAAGAATGAAAGTGTTCCATGAACACTAAAAATTTTGAAAATATAAATTTCTAGCAAAAAATTATAATTTAATGCCATTTCTATTGGAATAACCAGCATTTTTAATTTATTTATTTACCTTTTTTTCTTAAATAGGAATTTCTGAAAATTACTGCAGATGTCTTTTGGGTTGGGAATAGTACAAAAAGCCTTTTATAAAATGGAACAGAATAATAAATGAAAATAGAGATGGATTGCATTACAACTCACAGAAATCATACATTGCTCTTTGAATCTAAGAATTGATAGAGATACTCAAATATAATTATAAGCAGTGAAATAAATCAGAGGGAGAAAGACAATTTTATTTTTCTCATATGTAGTTGAAAAATAAAATCAGTACAAAGAAAATTAAAGTTTCAGATTTAAGAATGGTTTATTGGATGTAAAGGGGCAAGAGAACATAGGTATATAGGGTAGGAAGGGTTAATGGAGGGCTGGCTGGAAACATGGCAAACATTGTCATATATACAGTTATTGATTCATCCGAACAGCAGAAGCCTAATGGAAGTTCAATTTTTAGAAGTATAAGAATAAATAAATGCAATATGCTTAAGTGTGCTAAACTTCAAAAAAAAGTGTAATCAACAACAGCATTGACTGGACTGTCTCTGGAGGATGGATCATTCCTATATGAGCAAAGCAAGCAAAAGATAGCATGCCAAGAAACAGCTCATCAGATATCCATGTGTTTTGTCCATTTCAGTCTCCTTTGCTGTTTGGCTAGGGTCATATAATTTTATTTATCAAGAAACAGTATGCGTGCCTTCTGTAACCTTTTCTTTAAAATATCCTGAACGATATTAACTCTTTCTCTTCTTGACCCTTGTAAATGTGGAGACATTATGTATCAGATAATGATGGTAATTTGCATACAGCCAAGATCTTGTCACTTCTTGAGAGGACTTTTGACAAGCTTCCTAAGCAAAGTCAGCTTGTGATCAGAGCAGAAAATAGAGTTTATTTTCATTTAAAATTATGATAAGCAGATAAAAATGATAGATCTCTGTTCAACCTTAGCGAGCCAATTCTGTTTCATTCAACTATGTAGATTGAATAATAACAGAAAAATATGGTATTAATGTAAGTCATGAATAAGATGGAATATGCTGTGAAAAAATTAAACTGAATATCAGCCAACTCATATTTGAGAATGATGATCATATAAAAATATAAAATAATGTCCAAAGTAAAGAAGCCAATATGATTGAAACTATTGCTTTTCTTTGCTAGGTTTTCCAGGGAAATTTTGACAATGATACCCACAGGAAAAATGTCATAGACCCTCCCATCTATGCACGGCTCATTAGAATCCTCCCTTGGTCCTGGTACGGGAGAATCACCCTGAGGTCGGAGCTGCTGGGCTGCACGGAGGAAGAATGAGGAGACCGACACACACACAACCTTCTTCTCTTTTTCCCTAAAATGTATGTCTATGGAATGAACTGAGCAAAATATGTAGGAAACTGGATGGGGTGTTTTATGACAAACGTGCTGAAATTATGGTAGGCCACTGTCTTTTTAAGGAGGTCTAAGCCTGCCTTTTCAAAGTAATTATTTAATTTGATTGCTCTAGTGTAAATGTCCTAAGCAACATCACATTAACTTTGGGTTCCATTTTTCCTTATTTCCTGAATTAATCACAATGATCGAGATACATTAAGTAAAAAAGATAGACTCTGTTTTACAGCAAGAGTAAGATAAATAACGTAGTTATCATGCAAAAGAATTGATATAGCATTTCTAATCAACTAATAATTAAAGGAATTCTGAAATGTGAGCAATAAGGTTTTTTTTCCTCTGTAATGACATTACATTATCCTCAATGTTTCCCTGTGCCTACCAAACACTCCCAGTGTTTATAACAGAATTATAAAGTATCTGTAACATGGAGTAATAACATAATTTTCTTTCACCGTCATAATTTCAAAATAGGCATTATAGCATTTTTTTCTCATTTTGATGCAATTCTTTATTATTTATATTGTATACTACCTGAATAGGTCCTTACTATTCCAACTGAGTTTTATCCTATAATTTCCTAAATGAAGTATCTTGTTAGTATATATATGGCACATAGATATCAGTTGGTTATTCAATGTTGTTATACTGAATCTGCAATTCTAGTTCTGAAGGAAGTACAGATATGCAATTTTCAATGTTTTCTTCCTAAAGAACTCAATACTAACTTTTTGCAAAATAAGTAGTAAAATTATTATAAATTCTTTTTAACTAAAAATATAAACCTTTATTTTAAAGGTATTTACATATCCTTACCCTTACTTAAATATTATGATTATTTTTATCTAGGTTATGAAGTCAGCATATGTTAACAGTGTGTGACATTGATTGGCCAAGCATACTCATTATTTCTTTGTTCTCTGCATTTCTTGTGAAACTAGAAAATCATTGAGATTCAAACTGGTGGTAGTTTCCTAGGAGAGCACATTGGATAATTATTTGTAGAAAGAAAAGTATTTACTAGTGACAAAGTAGTAAACCATTTTGAAGATGCAAATTGATTTCAATTTTTTTGCTTCAAAGGTCCTGAAAAAATAAGCAATTATCATAAAATTTGTTGTTAGTGGAGGTTTCATTGACATATCTCTCAAATTAAAGCTCACACTGCCTCCATAAAAGCCTTCAACATCTGATTTATAAGCTTTACACGAATTACTTTATAAGGCTTAGACACAGAATTTGGGAGTTTTTAATTAAGGGTCCTGAAAAGAAAATGTGGTATGTGTTTGAAACGCTGAAGTTCTGTGCAACACTGCTAAATTTTTCTTTATTATTTGTGCTGCATAAAAAAAGCCACTAGACTTACTGTCTTGTCTGTCCGTGTGTTAACAGCATTTTATAATGATGTATATATGGAGTGGTCTTCAATCATAGTGAAGAATTTGAAGAGAAAGTCAATCATAATGGCATTTGTAATAAGAGAAAATTTAGAATTGTCTGGTCACGTGTTTCTCTGTGTTCACAAGCTCTCTATTTCAGGTTCTTATTAAGTCATTGCTGATTTGGAATATTTAAAATGTCGATGAGTTTTCAGCATCCTTCAAACCCTAAAATTGCCGTGTTCCTTTACTGGATAAATTTTTAAAAGTTAATTAGTTAAAATTTAAAGTAATTTTACAAATCATTACTTTAGTTCAAAAGTATATACATACTTATTTTCCTGCTGATGATCGTTCTTTAAAGATTTACTGTCTCACTAAATGGTTAGACTTTCTCCCTTATAGACTATATAATTTTTCTTAGAAGATTTTGTTTAAAAGAATATTAATATTACTTTGTAATTATTTACTTTCTCAGAATCATTCATGGCTTCTTAGGATATTTTAAATTTTCTTCCAGTGATAGTTTTCTAAACAAGTATTTTCAAAAGGAATTTGTCAAAATTATATTTGTTACCTTTTAGAAACATATTGAAATTAATTTCTCTTGCTTGTGTTTTTTCTCTCTGTTCTATATGCTCTTTACTAATAAGGCATGAAAAATGGAATATCTTTCCTGATACCCCAAAATCTTGGCAATATAGGGAATACAGTATGGGGAAATGTTAATTATCATTGTGATGTAGTGTGTAGATTTTGTGTCACTTATATTAATGCTATTAATGAAAAGCAAACTTATCCTATTTAATTTCACACCTTAAATTTTCATAAGCAGAATACAAAGAAGAATCATCTAATGTGAACCATATTGAGTAATACAATGTTATTTTCTTTGTTCATGTAATTATAAATCTTAGCATTTCCATTTTATCTGTGTCCTATTAAATGCATCTATCATAGCCACTGATTCTAATTTTAGGGTTGACTTTCTCTTTCTGAATGGTTTCAGAAGGATTGGTGTGATTTTGAAGACTCCGGGTATTAATGATTGTATCTTTGCTAGTCAACAAATTATGATATATTATACACACTGCTGGCATCACTGTGTCAGTAAGTAAAGAAATAATTAAGACACAAATAACCTTTGTTAATTTTCAAGCTGTGTAATATTCCAATGTTGTTTCTTTTTCTTTGTATATATACTTAAACCATGTAGGATGTTGTAAAATCAGTATTACCTTGTCTAGTCTTCAAGCTAAAAATAAAGCTTTTCAAAATCTGAAAAATCTGGGATACTTTTGAAGCAGTTGCAATTAAACACATTTATAAGAATACACAGTTTGTCTTAGTATGAATGCCCATTAGTGTTATGTACATATTTGGGAGGAGAGATTTCACAGAATAATTAACAAATAGCCGGGGACTGGAGTGATAGCACTAGCTTTGCACACACCAACTCAAGTTCAATTTCCATCACCCCTTTTGCTCCTGATACCCACCAGGAGTGATCCTGGAGTTCAGAACCAGGAGTCTTGAACACCAAAAAAACTTAAAAACAAATTAACTAAAATGAGGAAGAAAACAAATAAAAACACTTCCAACAATGTGCACATTGATATGCACATTAATAATGTGACCTTTCCAAAATTTATTTCTTCAGCTCATTTTAGCTATGAAAACTGTACTGACATACTGACAGTACAATCATTCTCTTGTCTCACATATATTTTTTAGTTAAATTTAGGTTTTCACGTTTAAGTTCCCACCTGTAAGTTCTCATGGCTTACTCCTGCCTCTGTGCTCAGGTATTACTCCCGGCAGTAGTTGAAGGCACCAAATGTGACGCAGGGGATTGAACTGGGTTGACTGCATGCAAGGCAAGCACCATGCATACCGTTCTATCTCTCTGGCCCTGCCTCATATATATTTAAACCCTTATTTTTAGAATTCATCTGCTGAATATTATTTGTATGTTACAGTAGACTGTATATGTTACTTATCTGCATTTTAATGTGAATTATTTAATGAACTTACTAATTGTCTAATTTTTGCACACATATGACCATATTTTATTAAATATAAGCTATTACACATATATTTATAACAAGATTTTTGAAGATGTATGACATCTATATAATACAAGAATTTACTGTGATAGAAAAGTTGTTAGAAAAAAATACAAGTATAGAAATTTTAAAATTACTAGATCCAGTAAAAAACAATGAAACAGAATTCGAAGAAGGAATGTCTGAATATGTTGCAATATGTTAGTTAAAAATCTATTAAGAATGACTTCATTGATGAAAAATCGTATGTCTTCAGAACCTTAGAATGTAAAACATCTAGCATCTAGCACTCCAGATCAAAGATGAGTGTCCCTATCTCTGTGCATTAACATTTCTCATATCTTTGAAATTAAGAAAATAAGGAAATAGGCTTAAAACAGTGTTGTCCATGTGAGATGCCATGTATGCTTGACTTCTATAATTTTAGTTTTGCTTTTCAGAGGTCTTACAGTGGAACTCGAGCTCACTAATTTGAGAAAATTTGTGCCATTAAACCTGCTTTTTCCTGTTTATTATTTATAGTTTAAATTTGGACAGATTTATTAGAGTTAAACCAGAGGTGTCAACATGTAACCTTGTTTATGTTAAAAACTTTTTTCTGTCACTGTCAATGTCGCTGTCCTCCAATTGCTCACCAATTTACTCGAGCGGGTCCAGTAACATTGCCATTGTGACACTTTTTACTGTGTTTGGCATATCGAATATGTCACTGGCAGCTTGTCAGGCTTGGCGGTGCAGGCGAGATACTCTCGGTAGCTTGCCGGGCTCTCCAAGAGGGGCGGAGGAATCAAACATGGGTCAGCCAGGTCGGCCACATGCAAGGCAAATGCCCTGCCCATTTGCTATCACTCCAAATTTTTTTTAAATATTAAAGCACTGTCCTCCCGTTGTTCATCGATTTGTTCGAGCAGGCACCAGTAACATCTCACAACAAATTGTGAGACTTGTTACTGTGTTTGGCATATCGAATATGTCACGGTGAGCTTGCCAGGCTTTGCCGTGCAGGCGAGATACTCTCAGTAGCTTGCCGGGCTCTCTGAGAGGGGCAGAGGAATCGAACTCGGGTCGGCCATGTTGGCTGCGTACAAGGCAAATGCCCTACCAGAATAAAACACTTAGCACCTCAACTTTGAATAAGTGATCTAGAGCAAATAATTAAGTAAAAAACATTAGAATTTGCTGTCAGAAATTGTTATCTTTCTTTCTGAATACTATAAGAACAATATTAACAATGGAACTAATGTCTTATTTGTGGAAAATATCTCCTCTAGCCTTTGAGATGTAAAAAGATATTTTATATAAGAAGGCAAAATGGAAGATTAAACCACTTTGCAAGTTGAGAAATATCTGAACTACCAGATGCATTATCATTTGTCTTTACAAAGAAAAGACTAGAGTAAGTAGCAATTTTTTCATTAGTTTTGAATGGGAAATCAAATTCCTTGATTCCATTGCAGCAAATGCCTATAATTCACATTGTACATTTCTATATTGCCACCAAACAGTGTTTTTCACTGTAAGCAAGTGGCAGTTAATCAAAGAGCCATTTGTTTTAGATGGATTTGGTAGCCAAAATAGAAAACCATTTTTGGAAAAAATTTCTCTTTTAGTTGTTTTTTGTATAATTTGCCAAGAGTGAATTAAGTCATTTGAAAACACTAATGCTGTGGAAATATGGTATAGTAGCATCAACAAATGGTCATCATAGTACATGATTAAGCTTGCGTATGGTCACTGCCTATGATTTAATTTTATTTTACTGTCTTCAAAAGCATGAACCATGCTCTACCACATTTATATAAAATCCCCATATTGCCCTCCAAGAGTCCATATAGAAATGTGTTAATAATTATGATAAATTGTGACATAAGTCCAACCTGCTGTTATTTGAAAAAGAAGGGAAATGTGACTGATGGTGCATTGGAACAATATATCTCCTATGGCAAGTATAAAAACAGTTTGTGATAACTTTCATAGCATCAGGACAAAACACTGTAGAAATTTGAAAGGAAAAAAATAACTGAGAATTGATTGCATGCATATGATCAAGAAGAAATGCTTTTGTGATAACTGACAAATACAAATTTGCATGTATTGATAAATATTCCACTTTTTAAAGTAACTATAGAGCAGAAACTTAAAAATAATAAAAACACCTTACCACTTGTAAGAGAATAAAGCAGACCAGGGGCTCAAAGTCAATGGAGTTCTTCTCAAGGCCAATGATGTTTTATACTTGGGCCAGGAAAGAGGAATCAAACAGATCCATTAAAGATGGTGCATCAGCAAGGAAGCACTTAAGTAATCAAGCTTAAATGGCTAAAACTCCTCAGTTCCCAAATTTCTTAGGTAAGAACATAGAAGAACGCCATTTTTACCTTGATAGCCAAATAGTTGTGTTATTGTCTGACTATTGCTGTTCCCCAAATTCATATTTTGAAATCCTAATCCCCAAAGTTGATAGTATAGTATGCTGACTCTCTAGGAGTTCACTAGTTAAGACTCATAAAATAGGATCTCCCTATTCCCACAATGTAAAGCATTTTACCATGAAAGAAGGAGCCAGCTGTGAACTAAGAAATTAGCCCTCATTGATCATGCAAATACCTTAAACACGAACATGTCATCCTTCACAACAGAATTTCTGTTGCTGATATGTTACAGAGTTTTGTTATAACAAAGTGAATGGACTAAGACACTTTTCTAAAATGGAATTTGTAATCAATACTTTGATTAGCATCTTGCAGTTTAAAGTTAAGCTCCAAGAACTGAACAAAGTCAGCCAGGAGACAAACACAGAATGATGTCTCTCATATAGGGGTTGTAAAGACATATAGTAAGCAAATAACAAATAGCCAAAGGTTACAGAACCTAAGAGTTGGCCAGCAGAACTGAGTCTACCAAGGGGTCTGGGGTAATGGTGATGGGTGTATGGGAAGGAACCATGGGATATTGGTGGAGGGAAATTAATGGTGGCTTTGGTGTCATAACACTGTATGCATGAAACTCTATAATTAACAATATGTGAAAATGGTGCCTCAATAAATATTGGAAAAAATAAAAAGTAGTAAAATAGTTTTCAAACTTTCAGGAGAGAAAAATCATTAGATTATGCTAGTATTGTTCTTGTCATGTATTTTTTATTCAGTACACAGGA